CTTACACCAGCTGCTTTCGCCCACCATTTATTAAATACCTGAGTTGTTGTCTTTCAGGCTCCTTCTGTCTTGGTCCTGATGGTTGGTCTGTAGTTTGCTTAGCGACCTCCTCACCAGCTTTGCTATCTTCAGGTTCGTCCAGTTTATTCTCCACAGGGACCCACACGCTGATTTTCTAGAAGGCTGATCTGATTATGTCTCCGACTTGTAGAACACATACTGGTGCCCCTCATCACCTGTGAGATCAAGTAGAAGGTCCTTAGTCTAAAGACTTCACGTTTTGGTCTTTCTAACTTCATCTCCCTTCAGACTCCAACTAGCAACTTCATTCCCCCTGCTCCTCCCTCTGGCCTCACGGAGGGCTATTTGTACCCATCTTCAGGTGATCCCGATGTAGTCAGTCTCCTTTGCCTGATATGCCCTCCTCCGTTGCTGCCGCTTCCCAGGCCCCCAGCGAACACCTGCCTCTCCTTGAGACTGAGCAACGGCTTCATCACCTTAAAGGAGGCTCTATGATGTTCCCCAGCTCTCCTCCCCTTAGTCCATTCCAGACCACCCCTCTTTTCCCAAATATGGGGGGAGCAGGATAGTGATTTTTAACTTTTTTGTATTGTTACTATCACCTCTCCACCGAATATTATTATTTTCTATTTAGGTGCTTGTTTTGATAGATATAAATTACATGAAGCCTCAGGACACAGCTTCGTGATATACACATTTACAGCCCTAGAGGGTTATAATTATGGAATTATGTATGGAATAAGGTAATATATGTATATATTTCCTGCCAGCTATTTAAGCTTCTAGAACACTCTAGCCAAAATTTGTCATCTTCACTCCCTCTGTCCTCCGGTGCCACCTCTCCTGATTTCACACTCTTTGTTTTGATCATGGCCCTTAAAAGCAATCTGATCTCTGCTTTTGAGGATAGACTGATCCTTTGTTTGGGGAAATTTGGTCTTAGGAGTTAAGCACAGACACCATAGATTTTGTAAAGCCTGTCTCTCCTATTGCTCATTTTGGAAGCTCAAAACCAAAAGGAGTAGGACGTTTCTTCCAAGCTAAACAGTATCTCTATTACCAACTTCACATGTGTTAACACTTCCTGGAGCCCAGTGGCTGCAGTTCCTGGGAGACAACAAGGAGCTTTCATCCGAAATGCTCTGCCTGGCTCTGCAGGCCTTTCTGAAATTAACTTCATGTGTTATCCAGGCCACCCTAGGTTGCTATGGAAACCAACATGTGAGATCAGCAAAAATAAGATAAAGATTTGGGAGAAATCACTGATGCTGCAACCTCCTTTCAGTCTCTCTCATTCTCTCTGCAGCCGTGTGTGTGTGTGTGTGTGTGTGTGTGTGTGTGTGCATGCGTGCACATGTGTGTGCCTGACTGAGAGCTTGGCATGGAAAACCGCAGCGTTCCCGTGTTACTTTTCGCCCCTTCTCAGAGCTGGAACTCTCCAGCTGGTTTTTACTACTGTTGGGGCTTCTTCTAATGGGCAGCCCAGGCTGTGCGGCCACAACAAGAGTGTAATCTTCCCTATTAACGTCCAAATGGCCCCCGGAGAAGAAATGTTACGTAAGAAGAAAGAACCATCGGTCCTCAGGACTAAGCCACATTCCACAGAAAGGAAAATAAAAAACTGCGGTTGGTGTTTTGCTCATGTCTCTGGTGTTAACACAGGGCTTCAGTCCAGAGGCAGGGAGGGAAAACATTTCATTCAGACCGGGACAAAGGCATCTGTAAAATGCGCACTTCAGCTTGGCCAGGGAGCCCACCAGGCAGCAGGGTGGGACGTGCTTCCGGCAGCAGAAGTCCCCACTGGATGCTGCAGTGGCTTTAGAATCAGGTGTATGAAGGATAAAAGCCCAGCTGCCGGCTATGCTCAGCCAGGCTTTCATTCACTAGGGTGGTGAGGTGGGCCAAGCTCTGGGCTCCTGAATACTCTCAGCTGCTTCGTCTACTCAGTACGGCTGGAGACAGACGTGGCTGCTTCCAGTTACTGGGATTCTGGCACAGTGTGTTGATGTGGGTGAAATCAGGGGTCCACATCTCCTGGCCCGGGGTGGGGGTGGGGGTGGGCGGATGCATCGCTCTGAGCACTGACTGTTACCAGCTACTTTCCTAGGTGTTTCAAACACGTTACCTGAAACTCCTTTCATTCTCACCTCAAGCCTGCCTGGCACACATTATCCAAGTTCTACAGGTAAAGAAACTGAGGATCGAAGCAGTTAAGCAAAATGCTCAAGATCACATTGCGAGTAAGAGGCCAGTGTGAGAGTTGATGCCGAGCCTCAGGGCATCAAGCCCTGTTTTTCTTTCCATTAGTCTTCCCATTATAACACACTAGCTGTTACAGGGGCACACAAAATTGTAAAACCTTCCGAGAGTTACGTGCTGCTAGTCTGGGCTAGCCACTGCCTTATATATCACATAGGAATTATTTCACAGGGCCCTTTAGAGAGAGTGTTCATAACTCTGTGATGTCTTGGAGGCCTTGGTAAGGGATACCTAGAAACTTCGTGTTCCCTTCAGTCAGGCAAGTGCAGTATGCCAACGAGTACAGTTTAAATTGAAGTTCACATTTTTTGTGGAATTCTTTTCAGTGCTGTTTACATTTATGCAGATGGTATGGATTCAAAATCCAGGGCTGGCCTGTGTGCCTGAATTCTCAGGAAATAGATTTTTATCCCCCTCTCCACCTGGAGCCAATGGCAGACAAACACAGTCACCTCTGTGGGGCGGACCTTCTTCTAGTTCATCATTCCCCTGAGGGGGCCCTTTTTCACAGGTGTCAGCAGTAGGCATTGTTTTCAGGTCCAGTTTCCCTTCTTGTGAAGGGCCCCGGATATGTCCTTGGTCTTCAGTGTCTTCATGGACTGACATTGCTGTATTACTAACCTGGGTGACTTCCCTTATTTTCTTGGCTGCTTCCCTTTGCATATAAAAGATTATTACAGTTTTCATGCAGTCTCATGTCTCTGGGTATTTTGTGACGGGGGGGGGCATGGTGATGTCAGGCTACTCATCTTTCATTTTGTAAACATTTGTTGAGTGCTCATGTAACTGCCGGAAGCACGTCCCATGGTGAGCTAAGAACCCTGCCCCGGAGAGACACTCCATATTGCTGGAACATTCTAATCATGGTGATGACTAATACAATCCTGATGTACCTGGATCCTTTCTAAGCATTGTTTATATATTAACATGTGTATTTCCATAGTGACTTAGAATAATTTTATCATTACCATTTTACAGATCAGAAAACAGAGGCCCAGGGAGTTAAGTAGTTACTACTTAATGTAAATGAATGAACACATACACGAATGGATAAAGCAGATGTTCAAGAGATTCAAACCCAAGTCCCTCTGAACTTGAAACCTCCCAATATGGTGCCATCAAGAAGCCAGAGGCCTGTAATTCTAGCGGAGTTAGAATGGTGTTCTTCATCTAAGAATGGTAGTTTTGACCCTCTCCTTCTACAAACACCTTTTTGTTGATGAAACTCTATCCAGAAGGTTCTTTCAGAAACAAGCTGCAGACAGAGGAACAACTCGGAGAAACGGAGACTTGGCGCAAGCCTGTGAGCTGCACCTCATAATCAAAGCTTTTCAAACTCCACCCAGTGAGGGTTTCTCAGGTATAAGAGCTGCTCCTTGTGTTGCAGATCAGTGATATGTCAAATTCTAAAATAGTCATTAACATGCTCTTCCAATGACTGGAAATTCTACACCATCACTCTGTCATTGCTCCTTTAACTAGGATTTACTGTTGGTGATGTAAATGAAATTTCATGGCAAGCAAACAGGAGTCCTTTCATTGTAGGTTCACTAAATGAGATATAGAGATAGAGATAGATGAGAGAGAGAGAGAGAGAGAGAGGGAGAGAGAGAGAGAGAGAGAGAGAGAGAGAGAGAAAACAAATGTAGAGATAGATATATAGAGATAGAGATGATAGAGATAGGTAGGTAAATAGATGGATAGATAGATAGATAGATAGACACTATACTAGAAAGCATACTGTGCCAAACATTGAGTCCAAGCACTTTGACATTCCTTTCCCCCAAATCCTTTTACACAGAGAATATCCTCGCCATTGCTCGCATACTCGGAAAAAAAGGAAGATGATATTAAAGTAATGTATGATGGTAATATAGGAATTTTTTTTTGTCACATGATACCATTATTCTTTTTGTGGTTATGCAAGTCAGGCATTTCTACAAAGCCCTACTATAATCCTACTGGATATGGTATTAGGGGATCTTTTCCAGGTGAACTACCCATTGCAAAGGGAAAAAAAAAAAAGAAAAAAGAAAAAAGAAGCAACAAAAATTGCAAAATTTTATAGAAAAAATATTGTTATCACATCAATCTATCCTTTTGTTACCGGTTGTCTATGTAATGAAAAACCAAAACAGTGAATTCAGATCGACAGTAAAACTTCAGCATGTTATCTGAAATCACCTTTTATAACCAAACAGAAAATAAGTACAGTGTCAGAGATCATAATCTCTCATATTTATTGATACTATAGAAATATTTTTCCACTTATGAGTAGGTGGGTGGCCAGAGATGCGAAATTTGGAAGAAGGATTCTAAGGTGTTCAGCTGCAGAAATGATCTTCAGAACTATAATATTTGCAGCCTGTTCTCCATTAGAACCTCTCTCATTTATCTCTACAGAGGCTCTAGTTCTGGAATCACTCTGGTAGCCTACGGAAGGCAGAGCCCTCTCTCCAAAGTAGGATTTCTGTCATCGGCCGTATCTACAGGATTTGCTATCCTCTACTTTCTTCCCTTCCTGACTCAGAAAGTAAGCTAGTAAGCTGGAAACCCTGTAAGAAGCTTGTAAACTAGTCATTTCTTACATGGCCCGAGCTTATACCTATATCGTTACTTAAAAACATTCCTTCAATAACAGTGAGGCTGGTTTCTTATGCCTCTGGAAGGGAGCCTTTCAAGAATCCTGCACCCACAAAAGCCTTTCTCCTGCCTCTGAATTTGAACTTGTTCACTAGACTCATCGGGGCGGGGGAGAGGATACCTTTCTAAATTATTGTTTTCCCAGAATCTAATATAATTTTACATAATGCAAAACTAAATACGTGTGTGTGTGTATCCTATGCTGTATGATACCAATATGCTCATTTTGATAAACATTTGTAGAGCTACAAAGCAGAAAGATTAAATTTAACGATGGTTATTTTAAGATTGTGAGTTGTTTATGGGTG